GTATTTGGATCCATGGTCCTCTGGACCTTAAAACTAACAAAAACACCAAATAGAAAACTAAATGATGACATATGTGGTGATTGATCTTTTATTTAGAGAGAGAAGGGCAGAAGTTGTTCTTTTTTGTTTGTTTTTTATAGTTGTCTTTTTTATTTGTGAATGCAGGCATTTTCATTGACCTCTTTTGAATCATAATCTTATTTGGATCAAGTTCTTGCTTGCACAGTAGGATCATCTCCCTTCCAAAAATAGAAAGGAAAGAAAAAAGATTTTGATTCATTGTTTTAGATGTGGGAATGGTTGTCTGTGTTTTTTCCTTTTTGAGATGGAGTCTCATTGTATTGCCCAAGGTGGCTTCAAACTTTTGGGCTCAGGTGGTCCTCCTGTCTCAGTCTCCCTGGTAGCTGAGACTATAGGTATGTGTCTGTGTTTCTAAAAAGATTTTTCCAGTTATTCATATGTTCATCTCAGAATGTGAGGCTCTGCTTTAGTAGCACTAAAAACAAGAATTAGGCAGAAGAGATTTCCTTTTTTTTGATTAAGTTATCTTCAACTCCTTTTCCTGCAGATATTACAGAATGGAGGTTTGTCTTTTTCCTCATTAATTCTGATGTATTGCTGATACATGTCCTCACAATGTCTTATTTGCAGAGTAGACATTATTGAAATGGAGGAATAGTGGAATAGACATAGAAAGAAGGCAGGTAAATGTTGGTTATGGATAATGTTAAAGTAAGTCTTAGGAAGCAAATTGGTAGTATCATTAGTATTATTAAATGATAAAGTTTTCATGTAACATTGATAGGATTTATGTAGATAATTCCAGCTAGTGAATGAAAACCTTCATGATATGTCTAATTTAAATATAAAATTCAAAAAGAATGTGTCATTTTCCCATTCCGTAGGATTTATTACTGATTTTTTTTGTTTTTTTGAGACAGGGTCTCACTATACAGTTCAGGCTGGCTTTGTGCTCACTTTGTAGCCCAGGCTTGTCTTGAACTTGTAACCATCCTCCTGCCTCAGCCTTCTGAGTCCTGAGATTACAGGCATGCGCCACCACACCCAGCTACTGAATTTTTAAACAATTCTTAAAATTTAACAGTTTTTAAACAAGCAATGGTTTAATGAAAAAAAGCTCTTCTTTATTTAGAATTTACTTCTTGAGTAGCTTTATGGTATGTCAGGTTATAAGAAATGGGGTTTATGTCTATGGAAAAACAGAAGTTAGGATTTGTAGCTCAGGGTTTCCAAGTTTGTTGCATTTTTTAAAGAAAGTTACTAAAATTAACCTTTTTAACTTGTGTCCAAAATGTCATTTTCTCAAGGATTATGAGGTATTTTATTTCTAATACAAAGGTTGCAAAATTCTAAGGTAAATATTCTTTTCCTTGTATGTAAATGTGTGCATAATGGTCACTCCTTTCTCCTAGAAGATGGGCTTCATGGAATTGTGAGCTGCACAGCTTGTGGACAGCAGGTCAATCATTTTCAAAAAGATTCCATTTATAGACACCCCTCACTGCAAGTCCTTATTTGTAAGGTATGTAATCTATTGACCTGTAAATGCTTACATTGTTCTGGGAAAAACAGATGTATAAAAGTCTTTAAAAATGCCCTTATAGCAATTAGGATCTGAGTTTGGAACTGGGCATCAAACTCAGGACCTCACGCTTGCCATGCAGGTGCTGTGCCTCTGAGCTATACCTCCAGCCCAGAATGTCTGTTTAGTGGAGATGAACTAAACTGATTCTTGAAATGTGAATAAAAATTAGTCTGATGAAATGAGATTGGTTTAGCATGTTCTAAGCAGAGGTAACGTCATAGTTAAAGTTAGAGGAGAGTTGAATGAGAGCCTGGTATGTTTCAAGGCATAAAAGTATAAATGAGCATGCATGCATGTGTTTTATAACCTTTCATCTTATGTACCCCACTTTTGTAAATCTCCTGTAGAGGAGGGGTATGACGTAATGGAATTTAAAATGCATTATGTATGTTGATATGTCTATGCCTATGTCTATATCTGTATGTATATGTATCTGTATATTTTTTCTTCTATTTGTGGTACTGGGAATTGAACTTGGGACCTTGTACTTGCTACTGAGCTGTCTCCCCAGCCCTGATTATAACTTTATTAGTCTGTACAATTTTTATTAGTACCTGGAAGTATATTTGAAATAATTATAGTATCTTGGTTATAGGTTCCCCAGCTCATGTTAGTGCTAAGATTAATTCTGTGTTAGTTTGTTTCCCAGTGAAAAAACTGCCTTTCTAATGTAGGGTTAGCCAGTATTTTCCTTGAAGTCCTACCTTGAGATCTTTTCTATCATGAATTTTTCATGGATTTTGACCTGCTTGGATATGCTAAACTTTATTTTATCCTCTAGCAATTTATTTACCTTTTTCCTTGAATTCCGTTTACTCAGTGGCCTGTCTTGGTAATGTTGTATATAGTGTCTTAAGTGAAAATAATTTTTTTTGAGGCAGGATCGTGCTGTGTTCAGCCTGACCTAGAACTCTTTTTTTTTTTTTTTTTTTTTTTTTTTTGCGGAACCGGGGATTGAACTCAGGCCCTTGTGCTTGCCAGGGAAGCACTTATTCTACTGAGCCATCTCCCCGGCCCCCTTGAACTCTTACTGTTCCCCTGCCTCAGCTTCTTGAACACTGGGACTGTAGGTGTCTGCCACTATTGCCTAGCTAGTTTAATTTGTGTTAAATTTATTACTGGGGCTTGCGAGATAGCTCAGCGGACTAAAGCATCTGCTTAGGCAAGTTTAGGCAAGTGCAGAGACTCTGTTCATCCAGGTGCCGCATGCTCCGCTAGCCCCACCCCTAGTGCGGGCTGAGCAGGGCAGAGTTCTGCAACGTGGCCTGTGTGGCATGTGAAACCTGGGCTTGAAGCCTAGTCCCTGTGCTTGCCTAAGTGGGCGCTTAAGTCTGCTGAGCTATTTCACTGGCCCTCCCAGCTAGTTTTAAATTTTGATATCCAAATCTCATATTTCTGGGTTTGTAGGTGCAACCTGCATTTTTCTCTTTTCTTATGTATACTTTTGCTTTTTTTCCAAGGTCTAGTCTGTTGAGATTATCCCATTTCAGTAATCAGTAGTTTCTATCTGTGGGCATGGAGTCTTTGAAGTCTCATTGCAAAGGAATTTGAAGTCTGCCAAATGTGAATTTGAAAAAGCCTGGTGTGGTGGGAACACCTGTATTCCCAGCACTCTGGGAGGCTGGGGCAGGAGGATTGCTGTGAGTTTCAGGCTAGCCTGGGCTATGAAGTGAGTTCAAGACTATCCTAAATAACATAGCTCAACTATGTTTCAAAAACAGCAAACCTTGGCCGGCCAAATAGCTCAGCAGATTAAAGTGCCTGCAAGCAGGCGCATGGGCTGGGGGTTCCATCCCAGGCCTGTTGTGCTGGCCCTGCCCCCAGGGCATGCTGAGATGGTGATTGAGACTGGGTGTGGTGGTGTGCACCTGTAATCCCAAATCTTTTTCTTTCTTTCTTTCTTTCTTTTTTTTTTTTTTTTGTATTGGGGATTGAACTCAGGATTTTGGGAAGCACTTATTCTATTGAGCTATCTCCCCAGCCCCTAATCCCAGCTTTTGAGAGGCTGAAAACAGACGGATCACTACAAATCCAATCTAGTAGTGAGACCCTGAACACCCTGTAGACCCTTCCCTAAAGTACAAAAAATAAAAATATGAAAAAAAACCCAAAATACCAAACCAAACCAAAACAAAACCCCCACAAAAACTAAAAACTTTTAGGTTTAAGTAACAGCTTTGCCTCTTACTAGTTGTATGACAGATTTATTTATATGTTTGTTAATGACCCTTAGCTTTTGACCTCATAATACCTCGTACTTTGTATGACAACTATTTTGAGATTTAAAAACTAAATGTACATTGGTTATCTCCACATATGGTTTCTGTTTATATGTGTATAGTGAACATTAAAAACATTAAGTTACAACAACATCTAATAGATTTTTTTCTGTATTTAGTTTTATTCTTTTTGTACTGGGGATTGAACCCATTGATACTCTACCATTGAGCTAGAGTATTAGTCCTTTTTTACCTTTTATTTTGAAGCAGGGTCTCCTAAGTTGCCCAGGCTAACCTTGAACTTGTGATATTCTTGCTTCAGCCTCCCAAGTAGCTGCTATTTTGGGCATGTACTACCATGCCTGGCATGTGTGCTACCATACCTCTATGTACTTTGATTGTAGGTGTTTGTTAACTAGTTATATGAGAAATTTGCTTCAATAAATCAAATCTTTTCATGCATACTTTTATTTATTTTTTAAATTTTTTTTTTTTATTTTAAGGAAGGGTCTGCAGGGTGTTCAGGGTCTCACTACTAGATCAGAGTCATAGTGATCCGCCTGTTTACGGCCTCCCAAGAGCTGGGATTACAGGTGTGCACCACCACACCCAATCTCAATCGCTGTCTCAGCATGCCCCTGTGGCAAGGCTGGCACAGCAGGCCCAGGGATCAAACCCCTGGCCTCTGCACCTGCTTGGCAGGTGCTTCAATCCGCTGAGCTATTTGGCCAGCCCTCATGCATACTTTTATATAAGGAATAGTGATGCCTTTTTAAATTAAGTGTATTGGTAAATTTTGGGTGTATATAGTCACATTCTCCATAGAAAATTGATATCTGTATATGATATAACTTAATTCTCTTTTCCCCCATTCCCTTACCCTCCCTTCAACTCCTTTCCTCCCCCCCCCTTTTTTTTGGTGGAACCGGGGATTGAACTCAGTCCCTTGCACTTGCCAGGCAAGCGCTTATTCTACTGAGCCATCTCCCCAGCCCCCTCCTTCCCTATTTATAAAAGCTTTGTTTCCATTTTTTCTGTTCCTCATTTTTTTTCATTTCTTTTCCATCTTTTCTTCCTTCCCACTCCCAATTTCCTCTTGCTGTTTGAAAATTTTCTTTGTAATTCACAGTATCTGCTACACATTTTGGTCCTTATTTATACATTTGGTTTCTCAAGGAAAACTATGTGGTATTTAACCATGCGTGTCCAATTTATTTGATTTAGGGTTACCTAGAAATATCTTGGGATTATTCTTTATGGCTAAGTAGTGCTCCATTATATAAATGAACCAGATCTTGTTTATACCTTCATCATTTGATGGTCATTTGGGCTGTTTCCAAGATTTTCTTTTTTGAGGTACCATCTTGCTATGTAGTTCAGGCTAGCTTTGAAATTACTATGTAGCCCAGGCTGGCCTCAGACTCAATGGATGTTTTCCTGCCTCAGCCTCTGAAGTGGTGTGATTATAGGCATGCGCCACCCTGTATGGCTGTTTCCAAGATTAGGCTATTATAAACTGCCACTATAAACATGAGTATGTATATATAATATTGTGGTGTAATGCTTTTAATTCCTTTGGGAAGATAACAAGAAGCAGAATAAGTGGGTCAAATGGGATCTCTACTATTAGTGCTTTTTTTTTTAATGTATTTGGTACAAGGTCTCACTACGCAGCTCAGACTCCTACTGATCCTCCTGTTTTCAGCCTTCTCAGCACTGGGATTACAGGTGTGTGCCACCACGCCTGGAATCAGTGGCTGGCTCAGTGCACCTGGGGGCTGGGCTGGTGTGGCATGTGGCGCCGGGGATCAAACCCCAGTCCTTGTGCTTGCCTAAGCAGGCTCTTTGTCTGCTGAGCTATTTTGGCCCTAGTTTTTTGAGGAATCTCAGCACGAATTTCCAAAGTGATTATACCATTCTACAGTCCCACCAACAGTGGAGAAGGGTTCTTTTTTTCCCACAGCCCTGCTAGCATTTGTTAGCGGTTGATTTCTTGATAATAATTTTTTCTGGAGTGAGATAGAATCTCAGCATTGTTTCAGTTTAAATATCTTGAATGACCCTTGACATTGAACAGTTTTTCATATATTCATTTGCTCTTTCATTTGGGAAGTGGCTACTCATTTCAGATGCCCAATTTTGGGTTGGTCTTTAAATTATGGGGATCTGATGTTTTTTGGAGTTCTTTATATGCTGTAGATAGTAGTCCTTTGAGCAACAGCTGGCAACTTATTTTTCTCACATTGTTGGTTGTCTCTTCATACTGTTGATGGTTTCTCTTGCTCTGCAAAAGCTTTTTAATTAGATGGGATCTCAGTTTTTGATTCTTTGTGGTAGTTCCTGTTTAATTTAGGCTTAGTTCATAAAGTCTTTGCCTACCCCAGTATCTTCAAAGTTTTACCTAGTCTATCTTCAGATTTATTATTTCTTTTTTCTTTTTTTCTTTTTTGGTGGAACTGGGGATTAAACTCAGGCCCTTGCGCTTGCCAGGCAAGCGCTTATTGTACTGAACTTATCTCCCCAGCCCCAGATTTATTATTTCTGTTTTAATATTTAGATCTTTGATTTGTTTTGATTTTAGTTTTGTGTATGGTAAAAGATATGGGCACATATTTTTTTTTCTATGCAGTTCAGGATGGCTGTGAACTCACTTTGTAGCCCAAGCTGGCCTTGACCTTCTGCCTCAGTCTCCTGAGTACTGGTATTACTGACATGTGGAGAGCCAGTTTTTCTAGTGCCTCCTTTTTTTTTTAGAACCAGGGCTTGAACTCAGGCCCTTGTGCTTGCCAGGAAGTGCTTATTCCACTGAGCCATCTTCCCGGCCCCTAGTGCCTCTTATTAAAGAGGCTATCTTTCTTCTAGTAAACATGTTTGGTCCCTTTGTCAACAATAAGGTGGCTGAGTAGGTCTGGAGTTGTTTTTGTATTTTCTAATCTTTTCCATTGACCCTTGAGTTTTTTTTTCCCCCAGTACCATGTCATTTTTATCAGTAGATTTGTAGTACAATTTCAAGCCTGGAATTGTGTTAAGCCTTGCCTTGGCCTTTGTTCCCCAGGATTGCCTTTGGTACTCTAGGTCTGTTTTGGTTCCAAATGAATTTTAGGATTATGCTGTTGGAATTATGATCAGGATTGCATTGAAATCTGTATAACAATTTTGAGAGTGTGGTCTTTTTTTTTTGCAGAGCCAGGGATTGAACTCAGGCCCTTGTGCTTGCCAAGGAAGTGCTTATTCCACTGAGCCATCTTCCTGGCCTGGTCATTTTCACTATATTGAGTCTACCTACCCAAGAACAAGGAATATCTTTGCATTTTCTGATATCCTTTTCAATCTCCTGTTTTAGAATACTGTAGTTTTCAAAGTAGAGTTCTTTTACTTCCTTCATTAGATTGATTCTAGGTATTTCATTTTTGTGGATGCTATTGTCAAATGTATTATTTCCCTTGTGTCTCATTCAGTGTGTTTGTTATTTGTGTACATAGGCTTATTAAGTTTTGAGTGTTGACTTGGTATCAAGCTCTGTGACTAAATTTGGTTATTAAATCTAGAAGTCTTTTGGTACAGTCTTAGGGGGCTTTATGTACAGTATCATGTCATCTACAAATAATTATTATTTTACTGCTTCCTTTCCTAGACTTATTCCTTCTTTGTTTTTTCTCTTTTCTAATTGCTCTGGCTAATGTATTCTGAAGTAGATTGACTAAGAGAGGTGACAGTGTACATTCCTGCCTTGCACCTGATTTGAGAATAAAAGCTTTCATCTTTGTTTATTTAGTGTGGTGTTGGCTACTGGTTTGTCATAGACGGCTTTTATCAGACTGATATAAAAACCATGTTTTCAGTTTTCTGTAGGGTTTTTTTCTAATCATGAATATGTGTTGGACTTTGTTCAGTGCTTTTTTGTATGTATTGAGGTGATAAGGTTTTTTCCTTGACTCTGTTAATATGGTACATTACATTCATTGATTTGTATATGTTAAATCATCCTTGCATCTCTGGGATGAATCCTACTTGGTCATGGTGTATAATCATTTGGTAATTTGCTGTATTCTGTTTGTCAGTTTCTTATTGAGAATTTCTTTGATCTAGGTTCATTAGGCAGATTGGCCTGTAGTTCTCTTTTTAGTTGGTTCCTTCTCTGGCGTTGGTATTAGGGTAATGCTTGCTTCCAGGGTTGATAATTGGGATTATCACTTCCCTTTCCAATTCCATTAAAGACTTGAGAATTAGATGTGTTATGTCTTCTCTAAATTTGTTGTAGAAGTCATCAGTGAATCCATCACGGTCTGGACTTTTTTGGTAGGGTTTTAGTTACATCTTCAGTTTCATTGACAGATACTGATTTATGTATAATTTTTATATCTTCCTTATTATTGTTGGTAATTCATATGTATCCAGAAATCTGTTCATTTCTTCTGAATTTTCTGTCTTATTAGAATACAGGTCCTTGAAGTAGGTATTGATGATCTTCTGGATTTCTACATGAGATCTGTTATAATTTTAACCTTTTCATTTTTTATTAGATGGATTTGAGTTTGCTTTTTTATGAGATTGACTGTCAATTTCAGTTTATCTTTCAAAGAGCCAACTCTTCAATCTGTTGATTCTTCATATTGTTTTCTTAGTCATTGCATTAATTTTTGCCCTGATCTTTATAATTCCCTTCCTTGTATGAGCTTTGGGCTTGACTTGCTCTTCCTTTTCTAGGAGATTAGGGCTCAACATTAAGCTATTTACTTAAACTCTGTTTTCTTTATATGGGAATTCATTGGTGTAAATTTCTCTGGTAGGACTATTTTTTTGTGTCTCATAAGTTCCTGTATGTCGTATTAGCAGCATTGTTTAATTGTACAAACTATGTAAGTTCTGCTTTAATTTTATCTGTTACTTATTGGTTGTCCTGGAGTAACGTGGATTGCCAATTGGTGCTCAACTTGTAACATCCAGCTGGACTGAACCAACGTGGTGCTGAGTGTGAGATGCCTACCTGAGGATTTTTGCCAGAAGCATCAGAGGCAGAACTGGAGATGCTAAGGTGTTGCTAGCTGGTGAAGCTGGTGGGAAGCTGTTAGGGAGCTGCTGCTTCTCTTCGACTGTTTTGCTGGTGACCTTGTTATGCTGGCTTCCTGATAGGAGTTTGGGACCTCACTGTGGCTGTGGTACTTTTTGGGGGTGCACTGGTTCTTACTTTGAGTGTTGCTTCCTGGCTGAAGTACAGATGCCTCACCCTGTTAGCACAGATGCTTCATCCTGCAGGCACAGACTTTCTAGTTTCTACCACTGACCTTGGGGCCTTCCAAGGAAACAGGCCTGCTTGAGACATTGTCATGGGCTATAGGCCTCCAGTTGGACTTGTGGGAGACATTGTCATGGGCTCTAGGGCTTCAGCTAGACTCATAGAAGGTCATTACTGTGGGACCAGGCCCTTAGTTGTATACCTTGGTCTTTAGTGTGTGGACAGATTTTTTGTACTCTCTTGCTTACATATGATTTTTTGAATGTCTATTTTAAGTAATCTTATAAAATGTGTCCTATATTGTTTCCCTTGCAAAACCCCAAACTACAGCAGGTAGGTGTTATTTAATTTCCATATGTTTATGAAGTTCTTATGGTTTCTTTCTTTTGCCATTGATTTTGTTTCATTGTACTGTGGTTAGATAATATGCATAGGATAATTTCAGTTCCTTTGCTACTTAACCATGTTCTGTGAGCTAGTATGTGGTCTAATTTGGAGACTGTCCCATGTGTGTTTGAGAAGAATGTGTATCCTGATGTTGTGTGATCTCTATAGAGATCTACTAAGTCCATTTATTCAAAAATTTGGTTCAATACTAATATTTCATTGTTAATTTTTTGTCTAGTTTATCTCTTATTTGTGACAGTGGGGTATTGAGGTACCCCTTTACAATAGTATTAGTGCTTTTTTAATCATTCATGTCCATTCATATTTGTTTTATATAGTTTGATGAACTGGTATCTGGTACATATGTATTTATGATTGTTATCTCTTCTTGGATTGTTTTCTTTATAAGGATGTAGTGTTTCTTTCTCTTTTTGTTTTGTCCTGGGAATTGAACTCATGACTTTGTGCTGCCAGGCAGGTACTATGCTGATGAGGTACATCACCGTCCAGCTGCTTTGTCTATTGATCAGGTTTGGCTTGAAATCCATTGTGTGTGCAAATAGAATAGGTACTCGTTTTTTTCCAGATTCCTGTCACATCACATGGTGTATTGTTTTGCATCCTTTGACTTTCAGTCTATGTATATTTTTGAATTAATTGTTTCTTATGTACAATATATTGTTGGATCTTGATTTTTTTGGGGGGGGTACTGGGAATGAAACTCATGACTTTATTCTTGCTTGGTAGGTACTGTGCCACTGACCTATCTCCCTGGCCCATGGTTCTTGATTCTTAATCCATGCTGCCTGATTGTTTCTTTTGATTCATAAATTGAGACCATTAACATTGATGATTATAACTTATGTATTGACTTAATCTCTGTTATGTTATTTTTCTCTTATTGGCTCCCTTTTTCCCCTTCTGTTTCCTTTTCCTGTTTGTTTTCTGTGTGGATTCAATCTGTTAGATTTCATGGAGTTGTAATCTTTGTTACTTCTTTCTACAATGTTCTTGAGAACATTTTGGAGTGCTGGTTTGGTGTTCATGAGTTTTGTCAAATGTTCTTTGTCATGGCAGTGTCTTATCTTTCCATCAGTTTTGAAACATAGTTTAGCAGGGCACATCAATCTGGTTTGGATGTTAATTTACTTTTAGGGCTTGAAGTACTTTACCTTAATGTCTCCTTGACTTGAGGGCTTGTGTTGAGAAGTCTGCTGTGATTCTGATGGACTTCCCTTTAAAGATGATTTGTTTCTTTTCCCTAACAGCTGTAATTGGGATAGTGATGCTTGATGATACGGAAAATGTATTTTAGGAATTAGTATTGTCAGATAGTACTACATCTAAAAAGTACTAATATTGGGTAGTAGAATATTTTTGATTTATTTAAAGCATACACATTCCTTTTACTTCTTAACTTTCTTTTTTGAGTCAGGGTGTTGCTATGTTTTTTGTTCAGGCTGGCCCTGACCTTCACTATGTAGCCCAGTCTAGCCTTGAACATGTGATAATCTGTGCCTCAACCTCCCAAGTGTTTGGGTATATGCATGCTCTACCCCACCTGACTTGCTTTTACTTCTTAAATACTTTTTTTGTCCTTTATGAGTGCTATGAAATTTGAATTAAATTTCTCCTTTTTCTTTCCATAGAATTGCTTTAAGTATTACATGAGTGATGATATTAGCCGCGACTCAGATGGAATGGATGAACAATGTAGGTAGGTAATAAGTCAAGGTCACTGACATTCATTATCTACTTTTTTTTTTTTTTTTTTTTGGCAGAACCGGGGATTGAACTCAGGCCCTTGCACTTGCCAGGCAAGCTCTTATTCTACTGAGCTATCTCTCCGGCCCTCATTATCTACTTTTCATGGGAGGGTTCCCCCCATTTTTTTAGACAAGTATCACTGTGTATTTCAGCCTGGCCTTGAACTCATAGTCATCCTCCTTGCTAAGCCTTCCCAGTGCTGGGATTATAGATAAGAGTTACCACATCCATCTTTATGGGAGTCCTTATAGTCTTTTATTAGATTCATCTTTTGTAATATCTTTATTGATTTTTTTTGGTGGACATTTGTTAATTTTTAGAAAACTTTAAGTTTCTGTCAAGTTTTATATTTCTTGTAAAGAGTAACTATATGCCCTAAGTTTATACTAAAGTGGCTGGCAAAACAGAAACTGGAATTGCTTTAATAGTGTTAAGATTAAAATCAGTTTCATTGGGAATAATATTTTAAATCTTTAAAATATTTCAGATGGTGTGCAGAAGGTGGGAACTTGATTTGTTGCGACTTTTGCCATAATGCCTTTTGTAAGAAATGCATTCTGCGCAACCTTGGTCGAAAGGAGCTATCTACAATAATGGATGAAAACAACCAATGGTATTGCTACATTTGTCACCCAGAACCTTTATTGGACTTGGTCACTGCTTGTAACAGCGTGTTTGAAAATTTAGAACAATTGTTGCAACAAAATAAGAAGAAAATAAAAGTTGACAGTGAAAAGAGTAGTGGTAAAGTATGTGACCATACACCCAGATTTTCCCCAAAGAAGAATAGTTCAAATTGTAATGGAGAAGAAAAGAAAATTGATGATTCATGTTCTGGTTCTGTAACCTATTCTTATTCAGCACTAATTGTGCCCAAAGAGATGATTAAGAAGACAAAAAAACTGATTGAAACCACAGCCAACATGAACTCCAGTTATGTTAAATTTTTGAAGCAGGCAACAGATAATTTAGAAAGCAGTTCTTCTCTGAAGTTACGTCAACTTAAAGCTTTTAAATCTGTACTGGCTGATATTAAGAAGGCTCATCTTGCATTGGAAGAAGATTTGAATTCTGAGATTCAAGCGTTGGATGTTGTAAACAAAGAGAAAAATACCAAAGAGCATAAAGGTGTAGATTTTAAGTCTGAAATAAAAGTACGGAAAGGGGAAAAACCTTGTTCTTTGGAAAGGAAGGATATTTCAAAGTCAGAAGCTAAGTTATCAAGGAAACAGTTAGAGAGTGAGCACATGGATCAGAATGTCTCAACAGAGGAACAAAGAGCAAATAAAAGTACTAGTGGTGAACTGAAGAAATCTGATAGGAAAGAGGAACCTCAGTATGAACCTACTAACACTTCTGAAGACTTAGACATGGATATTGTCTCTGTTCCTTCATCAGTTCCAGAAGATATTTTTGAGAATCTTGAGACTGCTATGGAAGTTCAGTGTTCTGCTGATTGTCAGGGGGATAGTAATAGTACAACTGAGCAAGAACTTGAGAATTCATCTATGAAATTAAGTACTCCTTCAAAAGACAACAGAGGAGGTATTAAGTCAAAAACTACAGCTAAAGTGACAAGAGAATTGTATGTCAAACTTACTCCTGTTTCCCTTTCTCACTCCCCAGTTAAAGGTGCTGATTGTCAAGACGTTCCACAAGATAAAGTTGGCTCTAAAAGTTCTGTTCTACACACCAAGTCAGAGAAATGTGAACTTGGAGAGGAAAACAGTGATAATGAACATTTGGTTGATAATGAAGTTCCATTACCTTTAGAAGAATCTGATCTTCGAAGATCACCTCGTGTAAAGACTACACCATTGAGGCGACAGACAGAAACTAAAACTGCAGTGTCTAATTCAGATGAGGAAAGTAATGAAACAGTTAAGGAAAAACAAAAACTACCAGTTCCATTGAGAAAAAATGATAAACGAAATTCTTCTGACTGTGCTATAGATAACCCTAAACCTAATAAATTGCCTAAATCTAAGCAGTCAGAAATTGTAGATCAAAATTCAGATTCTGATGAGATGTTAGCAATCCTCAAAGAGGTAAGCAGGCTGAATCACAGTTCTTCTTCAGATACTGATATTAATGAAACTCATAAAAATCATGAGACATTATGTGATCTAAAGAGTCAGCCAGGAAAGGACGATAAAGGAAAAAGAAAACGAAAAAGTTCTACTTCTGGCTCAGATTTTGATATTAAAAAAGGCAGGTCAGCTAAAAGTTCTATAATTTCCAAAAAGAAACGCCAAAACCAGTCTGAATCTTCTAATTATGACTCAGAATTAGAAAAAGAGATAAAAAACATGAGTAAAATAGGGGCTACCAGACCAACCAAAAAAAGACTTCTTAATAAAAAAGAATATGATTCTTCTGAAGATGAAAAACATAGTAAAAAAGAAATAGATAATCAAGAGCAGAAAAGTTTGAAGACTGTGCAGGAAGGATCATCTGATGATGCTGAAAGGAAACTAGAGAGTGAAAGTTTCTCTTTGGTAGATAAAGACAAGACCATTATGGAATTACGAGATCAATTTTCTAAGAAGCACCAGCCAACTATTTCCCCTGATGGTGCTGATAAGTCTTCTGGAAGAGAGGAAGGTTTAAATTTTCCAGAAGATAAAAAAGTTGCTGACACTAAAGAAAAGAGTAAGTATCTGAAAACTAAATCATGTAAAAAATTACATAGTGGTTTATTTGATGTCCCTGAGAAATTTTCAAAGAAAGAGCAGAGTGATGAGTCTTCTGAAGATGATAAAAAAAAGAACAAAAAAGAATCTGATGAAAAAGAAAAGAAAACCATAGACTTGAAAAGAGTGATTAAAATAGAAGAGCAGTATGAATCATCATCAGATGGCACTGAGAAATTACCTAAGGGAGAAGAAATTTGTTCTTTTCCTGAAGGTATAAAACAGAGTAAGAATGATTCAACTGATGGGGAAAAGAGAGGTAAAAAGCTAAAAGATAAAATGCCTAAAAAGAAAGAGGAATTATGTGATAATATTGGGAAGTTGCCAGGGAAAGTAGACAGTTGTGACTCTTCAGAAGATAAAAAGAGTAAGAATAGAACATCTAGTAGAGAGAAGAAAAGGAGCAGCTTCTCTGAAAAAAGTTCAAGGAAAAGGCAGGATTTCTCATCATCTGATACTGAGAAATATTCCGTGAAAGATGGTTGTAACTCTGCTGATAGGAGACTGAAAAGAATAGAATTGAGGGAAAGAAGAAGTTTAAATTCAAAAAGAAATGCCAAGGACATTCAGAGTGGGTCATCATCATCTGATGCTGAGGAAAGTTCTGAAGATAATAAAAAGCAGAAGAAACAAAGAAGTTCAGCTAAAAAGAAGTCAGTCATTGTCAAGGAGAAAAAGAGAAATTCTTTAAGAACAAACACTAAAAGGAAACAAGTGGACATTACTTCTTCTTCTTCTTCTGATATAGGAGATGATGATCAGCATTCTATAGGCGAGGGGAGCAGTGATGAACAGAAAATTAAGCCTGTGACTGAAAATTTAGTGCTGTCTTCACACAGTGGATTTTGCCAGTCTTCAGGTATGCAAGAATAAATAAAAGCAATTGGTAATTTCTGCTTTCGAAACCATTCTGAGTAACTATTAATTTTCCTTGAAGTCAATGAAATTCAGAATTACTGTGTAGGAAAGGTTCATTGAAAAATTCTGTAGAGATTTACTATAAAGGCTTTCTCCATTATTTTTATTCCATCTTTGGAAAACATTTCAAACATTAACGTTATGCTAGGCAAATCAAATTTGTTGGGTATTTACTAATTTTCTTATTCTTTAATGGTTTTCTCTGGAATAATAAACAGTTTATTAGGGACAATTAGATTTAAAGACAGACATGGTGGCACACGCCTGTAATCCTAGCACTTGGGAGGCTGAGGCAGGAGGATTGCTGTGAGTTTGGGTTCAGCCCGAAGCACATAGTAAAATCCTGTTTCAAAAAGACCAAAAACAAGATAAAAGAAAACTGGACTGATACAGATAATTCAATAGGTATACATTGTGTGAGATTTTCTTTAGATATTTCTTGGGATTGAGATGTTACTCCATTTAAAAGAAGATACAGGTGCCAGGGAGATGGCCCAGTAGAATAAGTGCTTGCCTGGCAAGCACAAGGGTCTGAGTTCAATCCCCGGTTCCACCAAAAAAAAAAAAAAAAAAAGAAGAAGAAGAAGATACATTTGCTGGCAAATTTCTTCCCTTTCAATCAGATTTTATTGTTACATTTTACTTTATTTTTTAAATTAGATTTTATTGCTACATTTTAGATATACATAATGATCACATTCATCATAGAGAATTTGTACCTGTACATGATATAACTTGATTCTATTTTTTTTCCTATTTCCCTCACCCCTTCTTCCCCTCCCTATTTTTGCTGGGAAATTTAACCCAACAAAACTGCTTTGGCCTGGTATGGTGGTGCACACTTAGAATTCCAGCACTCAAGAGGCTGAGGCAAGAGGCAAAGCCAGCCTGCACTACATAGTGAGACCCCGTCTCAAAGCAACAGCAAAAAATCCTGGGCTATGTCAATGACAGCACTTAAAGCAGAGTAGAATATAAGAAGGCTAGAAAATGAACTCTATAAAAAGTACTGTTTTTTCAAAGATATCTTTAGGTGTGAGTCAATAATAAATGGTATTCCTTAAGAATTTACTTGCATGTTTGTAACATGTAGAATTCATATATTTCTATTTAATGTATTTAATATAGGGGCTATAGGGTTTCACTACATAGATTGGACGCATAGTGATCCTCCTGTTTTCAGCCTCCTGAGTGCTGGGATTCAGGCACACGCCACCATGCCCAGTCTCAATCGCTATCTCAGTGTGCCCCGGGGGTGGGGCCAGCATGGCTTGTGGTGCCTGGGTTCAAATCCAGGCCCCTGTGGTCCCCCTAAGCAGGTGCTTTAGTCTGCTGAGCTATCTGGCTGGCCCTCATGTATTTCTTAATATATCTGATTTAATATTCTGTGACAATTTTATGAGATTTTACAAAGTCCCTACCCTTGTATGAGCATAGAGGATTCCAAGATTTTTTTTATCATTATTTAGTTATTATATTATAAGTACAGCATTTTCTTAGAGACTAGGGCTTAAAATGATATGAACAGCCAATTCCACCTTTTTTTTTGTGGTCCCAGGGGATTGAACTCAGGACCTTGTACTTGCCAAGCAGGCGTTTATGCCACTGAGCTATCTTCCTGGTCCTGAATAACCAAGATGAATAGTTTAATACAAGACAAAGATCAACAAATTATTACTTTTAAATAGACTAGAAGAGCTAAGTGAGATGGTGTGTCCTCCTATAATCACAGCTAATTAGGATGCTGAGGCAAGAAGCACTTGAACCAAGGAGTTCAAGGACAGTCTGGGTAATATAGCCAGACCTTGGCTCATGAAAACAAAAACAAAGATAAAACAGTAACAACAAAGAAGCACAGTGGAAGAGAGACATAAACAATACACTGGGACTATAAACATATTAGAAGAACTCCGGGGGGCCATGTGATAAGTGACAAGTTATTTAAATATTTGAGGGAAAAGTTAAGTTAGGATTTGAACTTCTAAAAAAGGATAGGTCATATTTTGAAAGTTGGTGTAGAAACGGAATGACAATACTACTAGTAATATTCTGTTTGACCATTGGTCTGTTGAAGATACTTTGCCAGGATGCTATGAGATTTGTTTTTGCCTTTTTGAATTTATCTTGTTTTTATTCTTAATCTGTAGGTGTCTCTGTTGTTGTTTTTTTTCTTTTTTCTTATGGCCTTGGGGCTCAAACCTGAGTCTTCATGTGTACTGTATGTGTACTTAACCACTGAGCTATGTTCCCATCCACTTGTGTAGTTTTTTGGTGGTTGGTTGTTTTTTGAGATAAAGTCTTGCTATTCAGTTTAGACTGGCCTTGAACTCATTATATAGCCCAGGCTGGCCTTCCACTTGGGGCATTTCCCTTGCTTCAGCTTCACCAGGGGAGGGATTACAGCTATGTGCCACCATGCCCAGGTTTGTAGATGTTTTTCTCCATTTTCCCCCACCATGTTTTTATTCTGGCATTGGCAGTTGAACCTAGGCTCTACAGAAGTACACCCACAGCCCTTTAATTATTGTTATTTTCTAAAAGTTTTACTACATTGCCAGATTGCAGAGGCTGGCCTTGTACTTTTGATTGTTCTGCCTCGGCCTCTGAAGTAGCTGGCATTGCAAGCATGTAACAACTACTCCTGGCTTCCTATCATTTCATTATGAAAAAATTAAAATATATAGAAATGTTTTTACAATTAACATTGTCTTATATTTGTTTGATCAAATGTCTTTATGTCTTGTCTTTCAGTGTACCTGTTCTATGTGCCTTATTGAAGCTTTTTTTTTTGAAATAATTATACAACCACAGGAATTTACAAGGAAAAAGTATAGGAAATCTCAGACGTCCCTTCAGTTAGTGTCCCCCTAAAAATATATGAGAGTAAAACAATTACTATGGAAAAAGATACATGCCTAATTTAATCCCCCTAAAAATACTCCTCCTTACCTCAAACATACTTAACTGATCATTCTTTCTGAAGCAGTGTTGAAAGTCTTCTGTGAGTTTCTTTATGAAGCATGAGCCAATGAGTGCTGCTGAGTGCCATCTGATTCAAAGGCAGCCTTTTGAATACGTTATGGTGTGTCCTCATCTACCTTGTTTGCCATATCTGGCACTATGCAGCTTCTGGCTTTTTGTCAAAGTCAAAATGACCAGGAGAGGTAGAGGTTTTTAATTGGTTCAGGACACAGAGGCAGTAACCACTGTATAGACACTGTTGAAAGACTTTCAGAACTGCTCTGAAGCGTGGTAAGAATGGTGGGATATGCATATCTCAGGGGGAGTCGGGTAATATTTTGATGGGGATCAATGGCAATGAGTTTTTTTGTTATAATAAATTCAAGAAAATGAAACACTTCATCACATTTTTCAGTCGTTTATAGTGTATTGTCAAAAGTGGGAAACTGAAGAAGGTTCATATTTTAGTCGTTTTTATGTATTTTTACTATGTGTATGTGTTTATGAGAGAGTAGTTGTGTGTGACTGTATCACATGTTCAGCTTTGTATAGTCACCACTGCAACAAAGGTACCAAATTGTCCCATTATCACAAGATTCCTCTACCCCTTTACTAATTACTGGCACATAAAAATCTTTCTCAATAATTTTGTTATTTTGAGGTATAATTACGACAAATGTACTGATGAGGTGGGCTTTTTTTTTTTTTAGCACAATACCCTTGAAGGTTTTTTTTTTTTTTTTTTGCTCCGAATGCCTTCAGGGCAGGTTTGGCTGGCTTGAGTTGTGGGGATTGAACCACAGCCACCTGAGCCTGACAGCTTTGTGGAAGCAGCCGCTTAAAGAACTGAGCTAGGGCCAGGCCCCCACCCTTGAAGGTTTTGATGGATTTCAGAGTATAAGTGGCAAATCTTAATACATGTCTCCTAATTACTTTAACATGCATGGAGTACAGTTCAATGTTTCAATTTTTTTCGAGTTGAAATTTACATATAATGAAATGTATAAATCTTAATTTCTTTCAATTTTTAAAGGATAGATTCTTAAAAAACAAAACTAGCATAATTAAATGCAGTGGTACCTTGGTTGATATACTTAATTCTTTCTGTGATTCTGGTTGCAGACTAAACTGAATGAGAATTAAATCAAATTCTGTGGTTAGATTTAATGTTGACCTCTTTGAGAAATTTCATTTGGTTCTTACTCAATTTGGTTTGTAGCTAGAATTGTGGAAATAATTAAGTTCATGAACTGAGAAACCACTATACTGTATATCTTTGAGTAATTGAAGTCATTGATACTATATAATTTCAAAATGTTTTTTAAATTTAGTAATACCAAAATATGAAAGCAGTTTTGTTATTCTTCAGTGATGGGTCAATTAGACATATATTAACCTGGAACTTTATTTTATTTTTTTTTTAAATATTTATTTATTTTTATTTATTACATTTATTTATTGTGTGTGTGTGTGTGGCCAGCTCAGCCCACCAGGGGGCGGGTCTGGCTGGCATGTGGTGCTGGGGATCGAACCGTGTTCCCTGTGCTTTGCCAAGCTTGTTTCAAGTAGGTGCTTTAGACCACTGAGCCATCTCTCCAGCCCCTGGAACTTTAAATGTACCAGTAGAAAAGGTTATTTCAATAAGAACCTTATGGTAATAATCACAATAGATTACTATAGAATTTTTACAGAGAAGGGTGGGCTTCATAATTTGTGTGCTCTGGGAAGGAATTTTGAAATGTGTAAGATCTGTTTTATTATTTTACTTTTGATGCTTCATAAATTTCCTATTGTACTTTCTGTACATATCCTTTTTGTTCATGATTTGGATTTTAGAGTAGTAGTTGGAATCTGTAAATTTCCTTGAAAGGTTTTTTTCAGTTTTCTTTTATATAGTTTCACTTACAGATAATTTAAAGCTAATTTTAAGTACACTTTTTTCTCCCAAGGAGATGAAGCTATATCTAAATCAGTGCCTGTCACCATGGATGATGATGATGAAGACAATGATCCTGAGAATAGGTATGATTCCATCTGTAAGGACATTAAAAAGATTATAACACACCCTAGGCACGGGCGCTTACAGCAGCAACGGAACAGCAAGCAGGTTGTAAAAACCAGGAGTGCCTGCCGTAGAAAGACTCACAGTCTTCCTGCAAGTTTGAAAGAAGGGCCACAAAGTGGGCTAAAACGCAGAAACCTTAAGAGAAAGTAAATACTAACACACCTAGCATAGGGTGTGTTATAAATTCAGAACTGTAAATTTTATGCTTTGCTGTAAACTGTGAACATTTTTGGAGATGCTTTTAATTTTGACAGGCTATTTTTTATGAAAGTGAATCATATCAATAAATTGGTGACAACACAAATCTCTCTGTCCATATTTGATTATCGTGTTTAATTGCCATCCCATGTGGTGGTTCTATTTATTCAGACCTATTGAAAAGGAAAGGGGAAAGAGATTACTCAGAGATATGGTAGACTGATTTTATCCATTTTCAAATAAAGTGGGTATAGTATGTTAGCAGTAACTTTAATTTGACCTAATAGGTTTAACTATAGACCTGTATAGGTTTAATTAACTGAGAGATGGCTGAGAGATGGAAAAAAGATTTACCCTTGTTATAGCAGTGAACAGTAAACAAAGATTAATTAAAGAAAATAATCATTGTGTTTCACATATCTTATGAGCCTTTCTGGAGCTATAGGATACTCTTACTCATCTTTAGCAGGTAGAGTAGTGTAAGTAAATAGAATTGGAATAATGGGATAGAGATATCTGACCTCTAATTCTAATGTTTCTGATAACTATGATTTTGGGCAAGTGACTTCTTTCACTGAAGTTTTCTGCCTCTAATATGAAAAGGTTGGATGGAATTTTTTTCTGATTAATTCTAGCACCAAAAGTCTTTATGGTTTTATTAAATAAGAACAGTATAATAACCATCCAGTTCTTTATAATATTGTTCCAGTATTAAGAAAAAATGGAAATATGCATGTAATTTTTCTGTCATAGTTTTGTAAGAAATTAACTGAGTAGTAAACACTGTGGGGTTAGCTGTTATACTTTAGATCTGTTTTATGTCTTGTTCATTCTGATAGGTTTTTGTTTCAAAGATCAGCATGCTGTTAATAAACGTTTGATTACGGTGAATGAACAGATTTTTTGTGTACTTTTAAATTAGAGGTTAGTCATAGATTGTTCTTTTTCTTCTTCTTTAAATGAAAACTATGTATTTAGTTATTGTATGGGATAGGGGTTGAGTCCTGAATGGAATAATAAAGGCATGAAACTTATCTGACATTTAATAGTACACCATCATAGCCAGATTATGAAAATACTCAGAGCTTTATCCTCTTTTAAAATGTTTTCCTTTTCATTTATAGATGGTAGTATTTGTTTTCTTATGCCATGAAGCCTGAAATGTTACTGACAGGCTAATCATGTTTAAAATAGTCTATCTTAATTTAAATGTGAATGATGAACTTTTCTTTTATCTTTAGTTGTCAAATATGTTAAAAGTATCATCATTTTTTGTGTTAAGAGTTTGTGAAAATATAAGTTAGATTTATCTTTTAAATTGCCTGATCATGCTGGGCATGGTAGTGCATGTCTATATAATAACAGCACTTAGGGACCTAGAGGCAGAAGGATTGTCAAGAGTTCAAGGCCACCCTGGGCTCCATGCTATATAGTATGTTGAAGGCCAGCCTGAACAACATCTGTCTTTGTGTAACTCAGTTCAGTGCATTTTATAAAATATATAAGTAGTCTGAAGATAAAGTTCCCCAACACGTTGCCTGCCTGGCAAGTGCAGAGTCCTAAATTCGATTCCTGGTTTTACAAAAAAACCCTATACCAAAGAAGCGCCTAATATACGTGGCTTATCTAGTCATGAGAAGAGGATACAGATACTTCCTTGTACTATTTTAGTATGGATATGCACTAAACAACTTTAAAAACTTGCAGATCATGATTGTCTTGGGAATATTTTTCCATTTTCATTTTTTTTTGTTCGAGTGAAATGCCCCCTCCCCACTTCCCCTTTTTTTTGAGACAGGTTCTCACTATGTAGTTCAAACTGGCCTTGAGCTCACTTATGTAGCTCAGGCTGGCCTTGAACTCACCAGCTCCTTGTGCCTCAGTCTCCTGACTGCTGGGATTATAGGTGTGCGCCACCACACCTGGCCCTGAGTGAGATGTATTTTAGTAGATAGCATATTGTAATTGTGTGTAAATTTGTACACAATTGTGTAATTGTGTATAAATTGTGTGTAAATTTCATATGCATTCATATGCTTTGCCTTCAGTATTGGTATTTATGGAGAGGTAACTAGTGTATTGCAAATGCTTAACTACTTGAATGCAATAAATTTGTTTAAAACTTTTTTCTTGTTCAAGCATTTAATTTTAATTTCAATGCATCTTTCATAAGAACTCAAAAATTTGTTAGAATCAAGGAACATGGGCTACTTCGTAGTTAAAGAAGTTTGAACATTCGTGAAATTGAAGAAGTATATGCTTTGAATTCCCAAATCATGTATACATATATGTATATATATAATTATTTGAAAGTTTTACAATAGATTCACTTTTTCTTTAATGGCTGTGATATCTTTTGAGATCGTTTAAAAAACTCAGTCCTAAAAAATAAAAGAGAAAGAAAAAAAAACCTTAGTTCTATCTTGGATATTTTCGTAAATTAAGTTTCTGTTATTTTAATATGCTATTGATATAGCATCATTTATATTGGAACGTAAATGTATACTACTGTGATATATAATCGTCTGACCTGTGAACTAATTTGTTTAATCACATATATTTCATGAACAGTGGCAAACTACATTCTGTCTTTGCTGGTTGAGCATTTTAGAAGAAAATAAATAATAACCTTTTATTTTGAAATTCAATAATTTCAGATTTTTCTACCTTGGACTTTATGTACTTTTTGATAGGCAGAATAATAATACCAAACAACTTGTCAGGTTTTAAAAATTGTATATATATTTGAATCAGTTATGTGAATGTGCTATTGCTGTCATGTTTTGACTTTTTGAACATGTGTTAGGCTTTAAATTGTTTCTATGTAAGACATTCATTGATATGGGTTGAATATCCCTTATATGAAATGCTTGGGATCAGAAGTGTTTCTTCGTATATTTACCTGTACTTTACCATTTGAGCATTAATAATTGCAAAATCTGAAGGATTTTGGAGAACATCAGATTTTGGATTTTTAGATGAGAAATGCTCAGGTGATACATTATGTATGATTCCTTTGTTTTCACTATAATTGGGGATATCTTCACCAAATCTTTTCTTGAAATAGTATACATTTTAGTTACTGTACTGTGAATGAGCCTCAGTAGAAGGATGGTAATGTGTTCAAGTGTAATAGCATTAGTATTTAGAAACACTATTTTTAGAGTAGCCTTCATTTGTATATTGCAGAATATGAAAAAAATCTTTAAAATTGTGCTTTTGAGACAAAAAGGATACAAGATTTTTTCTGTGTAATTTCCTTCTGTCTTAATTTGGACAAAAAGCTGATACTTTTATATGATATCTTCCTTTCCTGTCAGTACCCAAAAGAATGCTTTCTGGGTTCTAGTAGTATTCCATAGGGTTTTTTTTTTCCCTTTTTGTCGTAATTTCCTTTTGGGGTAGGCAAATCTTTTTTTTTTTTTTCCTTTAGTAGAAACAATCCGGTATAATTGAGATTGGTCAAAGAAATTACTTTTTTCTGTTTTTTTTCTTTTATAAAAAATAATTTCTTTATTAAATTTACAGATGATTTTATTTTTTAAATGTACTTAGCACAAGGTCTATAGGGTCTCACTATACAGTTCAAACTCGTAGTGATTCTCCTGTTTTGTTTTTTTTTAAATATAGAACAACCTGTTTTATTGGGAATTTTTAAAATTTAACAGGAAAAGTAAAAAAAAAAGAAAGAAAGAAACTTGTAACTGGGAATTCAATACACTTTCTAAAAACAGTTTCCCAAGAAAAGTTCCATTTTACAGGGCCCTGCTATCTAGCCCAGGTTGGCCTGAACTCACAGCAATCTTCCTGCCTTAGGCTCCCCAATTGTTGGGATTACCGACTGTGCCATCATACTTGGCAGTGATATGTGGTATCCCTGGATGGATGCCATTACCTATTATTGATAGGTGTGCTTAAATGTGGTGGGACTAGGACATAACCTTTTGGTAATAGCTTTGCCTTTCAAACAGAAAATACATTTTTATTTTTTCCTCTGCTGGCTTGGTGTTGAAATTCTGTTGATGGATGGCTTTATACTGTTAAGCCAACATATGTTGGAAACAGACTAATCATTCCTGGCAGTTGTTCATATTAATGAAGATACTGTATTTAATGATTACCTGATTTCAACAAAATTAATGCTATGAGTATATCCTATGTCTTTTTTTATGTCTTTTTTAATCATGACTTTCTCTTGTTTTCCATTTTAAACTTATCCAAATGTCCATCTCCTGCATGTTTTTTTTCCTGTATTCTGTAAAATTTGTAAAATGTGGGATGATTTTTGTATGATTTTTTTTTTGATGGTTGTACTCTGGTTAGTGAAATTGTTTTGATTCTCTTTTATTGTACTTGACAATCAGTGGCACTTTAAGGATTTAGCTTGTTTTTTTCTGTTTGATTGAGGATTTCAGTATGTACCAGTTTTAAGGTAAATGTTTTTCAATTAAATGTCAAAGTAGGGCAGGTAAGTATTAGAAGTGATTCAACCATAACACAGGTATCTTGTCAATAGTTATCATCTATTTGTAGATGACTAACTTGGTTGCATTTGGTAGTAGCTCTCTGTCTTATTTTACACTTCCCAGGAAGAAGAGAAATATGGTTAGTAGTGGTGATCTTTCTTTTTGTTTAAGACTTAGATGTATACAATAAACTTTACTTCCTGTATTCTTTGGTGACATTGAGCTTTCCAGAAAATGAGAAATAGCCCTACTGCCAAAAGTTGGGATTTTAGTGTTAGCAAATGTAAACAATT